ACGTAATGTTCAATGCGACACACACACACCAGCGACCCATTAACAGCTGTCTCTTGATTTAGGTTAAAACGTTTCAACATTACTCAGAATGTAAAGACAGATAAGACGGAGGTGATATGAAAAAAGTACCTGATTGCAGGTACAAGTACAACAACTTTTACACAATGGAAAACCAAAAAAAGGCGAGTAGAGTGGAGGCGAGTCGAGCTGGTACCGTGCAGTGGAAAAGGGGCTTTACCGTCTCTCTGCCTGTATGTCCGCTTCGGTAACTTTCTCCATCAGTAGTAGGCTAGGCTGTATAAAGTCAGTGAAAAAAAACCCCAGAACTTGTCTTCTGGACTTTTACTCCCGTGATTTCGTTCACAGCAGCAGCTGAGCTGCATTTTGTGGAGGCGTGTTGACGACGTAGCCAATCAAAACAAAACCAAGGTGGTAGCTAACGAATAACATCTAACTGGTGTGTTCACTGTGATTTTACCTGGTCCGTTCTTGTAAAATATCCACAGTGTCGCGACTTGTAAACACCGTGTTTCTTTGATAAATGCTATAATGTGTCGCCTAACCTGGCCGGCCCGCAGAAGTAAAGTGTATGTGTGGGAAACACTGAATGAACCATGTTTTCTTTTTACAAGCCAGGTCTTTAACAGTGTTGACCAGCACTGTGTCTTCCTCTGTATTGTTAGAGACTTTGTGAGTAATGGCTGCGTGCAGATGCAGAGGGAGGGGCAGGGAGAGAGATGAGCAAACACTGGCAGGACTTTACAGAAACATAATAATTAACTCAACATCAAACTATATCGGTCTAAACGGTATTGTCTAAATTTCATATCTCTTTTGAAATTATATCGGTATACCTCATATATCGATATACCGCCCAGCCCTAGGCTGAAAGAGGGTGAAAAGAGGAGCTGCAGCAATGTGTAGTATGACAAAACTATAGTGTTATTTGAAAATGAAACCATGTAAACCTGGTACAACCCCTAAATAAAATGATGAACCTGAAAATGAGCATAATACCAAATCTTTAAAATATTGGTGTAATGTAAACAACTACTTCCCCCACAAAGTGAACAAGAACTCAAATCAAAATTTGCCCCGCTGTTGTAAATCATGACCTAAAAGTAACCATAACTACCCCTTAGCAGAGAGACAGAATAGCCTGAGCACCTGTAAGCAATAATTTTATCTCATATATTCCATTTTTTAATGCAATTCTTTTGAAAATTGGATTCCCCCACCAGTCCTCCCCTTCCTCACATCTGTACTTCTATAACAGCACCTAAATCAAAAAAATCTGGAAAGCCATGACAAATAACAGTCTGCCTGTCTCCCTACAACAACAATACAATCAAAGACGCCTCCAGTGATAGGCTCACTGAGAAAGGTCTGCTTTTGTAAACTATGTCACTGTCACACATTTTCTTCGTTGGGGTGTATAATTGTGTGTGTGTGTGTGTGTGACACATGATTGCATGCATGACTCTGTTTCCTGCTGATGGTGACTCATGAGAAATGTGGGTTATAAACAACCAATCAGGCCTGCAACAACACACACGATGAGATCTTGGCACGTTTTCCTGTTCTAAACCCCCAAAATGAAACCTCTCCATTCTGTCACACTGAACACTAGAAGAGTCACCGCTGACAGAGGATTAACAATCCCACACCAACACAAAAACAAACTGCACTGTTAGGCTATTATTCCTCCACAGGAATTGATGTGAGTGCTCAGTTGCTGCAAAAGCAACATGAAAGCAGAATTTGATGAACGTCATCAATAATTCTGTCTTTCTAACTCATCAAAGTGTTTCTCTCTCCTAAAGCCTTGTATACTTTCTGCTGATTACTGCACAAACAGATTAATTATCTGAACTGTTGGCAGGAATGTAAATATCAAGACCAGCTGGCTGCAGTGTTGAATACCTACGGTGACTAAAGCATTTGTTAAAATAATATTTTTAGATTTCTCCTTACGGAGGTCAGTGTGTTGACTGGTTACTCTGACATCAAAGTGAGGCATTGTCATTAAATCTAGATTGTTTTCTCCGATACTAATGCAGCTCACTTCCTCAGGCTGAAGATGGAAACTAACTGTCAGATGTTATTTCACAGCTCTCAATGACTGAAACTCATTGTTCCAGTTAAAAGACCTACATATTCTGACATCTGTTCTAAATGAAGAATACATGTTGCTGAATTCAACACGCAAACTGCAGCAAGTTTGGGTTAACCTGGCTATAAGTGTTAATTCAGTTCTTGGTGTACTGGATTACATGTGGTTGAGTTTTGGTATTTGTGGATGCAGCAGACTGCAGGGTTGTGTAATCAAAACTTTTCTTCATTTCATCTCCTCTGTTATGCATTGCAGCATATGTCACCTGGGTCATTTTAGCCTGCAACACAGGTAGCCCACTCATCTCAGTTTCCAAAACAACTTCTTGGCCCCAGAAGACAGCTCTATAAGACAATGTGCCTAATAAGCACAATTTCTCTTTCTATCTCACACCAAATGACTCCCTACCTCCAACTTTATTACTTCTTAGGGGACTAAGCACTGTGGAATAAAAGGCTGTTGTGCATCTACAGCGGTCATTACAGCAAGCAAGCATTTCTGCTTGTACCTTGTTGTAGGGCATGTGGGAAAATAATGCATCAATCAACAGTTGTTCAGCTTGTAGTAGGATTCAATTAATGTGACAAGTGTTACATTTAATTGCAGCACCTTTCTCGTTAGAAAAACTTAGATACTTGGCGATTACTTTTTTCACCCAGACATATTTAATTATAGCCCAAGCAGCCAGAAAGTAACTGCTGAATTGGCTAGGTCTTCATTCAGAGCACAGAAGAGGTGACTAATGCAAAGAATGTATTAGAATCCGTGGTAATAATTTTATCGAATGATTACGAGTACAATTACTGCATGGCAAGCAATCTTGGAGCCAAATTTTTTTGCAGACACATTTATAATACAAGACCGTCATCAATACAAAGTTGTGTGCAGTCATGTTGTGTCTTGTCTAAAGCTGATCATACACAGGGCAATTTTTTGAGCAATGTTGCTGGGCAATCTTGCTAGTGGCAAGACCGACTATGTTTTGAACGGATAGCGATGGTGCGGGGCGGGTGGCGGAGTGGTGGGGGAAGGGGATTACGGTAGTAATTTTTACTCATTACCATTGACGGCAACGTTGCCCTGCACGACTGCTCTAAAAGTTGCTCAGTGTATCTTCAGCTTTACTGTTTCATTATTTCACTAGAAATGTTTAGGGGCAGAGATTCTGCGCTGCCATGACATGCAAGTCTGCAGTCAGCAACGCTACACGCACTCCATGCTGCTGAATGTCCGTTGCCAGTCATGAATACTAAGTTGATCCATGTATAGAAGAAACCAACAGTCATTACTCTATAGCCAAGGTCAGATGCTCCCATTAAAAACATCAACCAACAGATTAACTTCATAGAGTATATATATATATATATATATATATATATATATATATATATATATATATATATACACATACACACAGTATATATCAACCACTTCTTGTGAAAAGCAGACTAGTGCTGAAATGCCGAGCTGATTCATTTATAAAAGATCATTTTAATTTGAAACACCCCGTTTTGTAATGCTACACCACATACACATAACATTATATATTCACATTTACATGTTATTCTACCTTCTTTGACACGTACATTAAACTGTATGTAACTGGATTATTATTTATCCTTTGATGAATACTAGAGACTTGTTTTGGGTTTGTTACACTTACAATTTTTCATACATTGTTGCGGTGCGTTTTAAATTTGTAGTTACTTTAAGTCAGTTTACAGAGATTCTTTTTTTTTCCTATTGATCGGTGTCAAAAATCCTAATTACATTTAGTGTGATTTAATGTCTTAAAAAAGAAAGCATGAAAAGGTCCAGCGGGGTGCAAGTGCATGTTAAAGGCATTGTTAATTAAGACGGAGGACAAAAGCAATGCAGGCAGATCTGTTTCTGTTTTATGCCACAGGGATTCAGGGAGATTCACAACAAATGAGCTGCCAGTTCTCAAAATGACTATGTTCCCTAATAAGAAGCTGCGAGGCTAGATACCTCTGAAGCAAGAGCAACTCATGAGAAAAAACACAACACCTCTCCTAAAAGACTAGACACTAAGCATGATGGATGCAATAAAAAAATAGTGTAAGATTAACCACAGTGGATATCAGGGATATGAGGGAATTGAACCTGAGGCACCGGGTCTGACTGGTTTTAATTTGCTAATGGTGCTGCTTGAATTTGTTAGATGCAACATCCTGCTGGCTTGTCTGTGTCAACAACTTCTAGTCCTTCCACTCTCTTGTCTCTTCCTTCCAAGTTCCTCATTAATTTAAGCAGTACAACAGCTGTAGCCAAAGCCCTGGGCAGCGGAGGGTCTCTGTGGAGTCTGCTGCCAGAGTCAGGAATAGACTGCTCTGGGTATGGCAGCCACCAAGAGAGTTTTATTGGATGAGTAAGGCCTCCCGATGGGAGAGTGATTATGGGGCCACTGTCCACTGCTACAAAAACATTAACCACATTACTTTTCATCCAGTCTAGAGGTCTAATTCAAACAATAGTGAATGACTTCCTGTGGACAATGCCGCTTTCGTAATACAACCACAGGAAGTCAATCCATTTATTTTTCCTCATAAAAAAGTGCCCTAGAAATAGAAATCCAACTTTTGTTATGTATATTTTTTTAAACAGAGGGTTAATTCACAATGTGATACATTCATTACTATTACAACTGATAACGAGGGCTCAGACCTATAATTTCATATCAAACGATTGAAGGAAGTTAAATAGGTCAAACCCAGATACTGCACTCCAGTTAATATTCTGGGAACACTCCCTACAAATTTCCCTACAGCTTCTTTAAGATGAATAAAACAGCAAGGAGCCATCAGCAAAACATGAAAAGTAGAACTGAGTATTTTTTTAAAAAGGGAAAAAGGACAGAGTAACTTACCCCGTCTCCACAGGTTTCTCTAGGACAATATCAGCTACACAGCTCTGCCTTAGCACTGGCCTTGTGAGCCTAATTGGCTGAGGAGAGGCTGGCCTGGAGCCAGAGGCATGGCACTGGGGTCCTGGGAAGAACAGAGAGGAAGGAGTTGTGGTAGTGTGTGTTGAGAGGGATGGGGTGGAGCAGGGGACAGACAGAAACACCAGAAGAGCATAGAGTCAGAATGACAAGTATTTGCCCACTCTTGTTAGTTGTAGCACTGTCTCCACCTACAGGAGATCAGGGAAATGATTTCTCTAAAAGGGTGAAGGGATAAACAGGAGTGTGTTTGTGTTAACAGCATTTGGGTTTTTTACCTGGTTGGTCCCAGTCAAGAGGGTCTGAATATGTGATAGAAGCAAACCGTCTCCTCACTTCCTCCTGATCTCTCTGCTCAGACACACACAGAGAAACACATTTTCTAAACATACTGCCCACCTGCCAAAAGTGAACCATGTCAAACAGACTGAACACCGTCATCGAGACTAGACACCGCATCAGTAAACAACACCAGACCAAAGCTGTCACAACAGCTCACTATAAATAGCAACCCGGTAATCGGTGACCTTTCGATTTCCACACTGGCTTCTGTTGGTGAGCCTTTCTATAGGGCAGCACTCACCTGTATCTCCTCCATACGAAGCAGCATACTCTCCAGGGTGGGGGCCTGCAGCCTACATTCAGCCATGCCCTCCAACTGTCGTTTGTCTCAGCCGCCCACGCCGCCCGTGCACAGTCCTCCAACAGATCTTCCAGCAAGGCCTCACTCAGCTGCTCAGCACTCTCTGCTGCCTGTGGAGGACAACATGCACAAAAGAAAACAACAGAAAACATACGCAGAATATTAGGCTTAATTGTTCAGTTTTCGCTGTTTAACCATTGCCATGACACCAAATTCCAATTCCATCAATAGCAAGGCCAACTCTCCTCTCTCCTGTGAATTATTGGCAACAGCAGCGCAGCTCACCCTCTCTGCAGCGTGCTCAGACAGCCGATTCCTCAGTGAGGAGCTGATCCTGTTCCTGGTCTCACCAATCTCCTGAGGTAAACAGACAAAAACAAACTCAGTCCCACCAATCCAAAGTACTCTCTCTTAGCCCGAAACAACAAGACTATTACTCAACAGTCACAATTTATTTTACTGTTAAATCAGGAGGTAAATATGGCTTTATGTTTTACTTTAACAAATGCGATGTATTGATTCTACATGAGATGTATAAAAGGAAGGAAAGAGAAGTAAAATCTAGCACTACCCAGACAACAGATACGTCTTCCTACCTGTGCTTCATCCAGAAGGGCTGGATTCTCTCTCTGGCCTTCTGCTCGGCTTGCTCAGCCCACCGAGTTGGCGAGACACCTTGTGACCTGTAAACCAAAACACACCCACACTGCAAGCTGTCACAGAAGAAGTTCTGTGAGTGATGGAATAGTCAAATTCTGATGAATGAGAAAAAATGCCTCATTTAAATAAGTTTTTCAAATAATATACCTTGAATAATAATGACTCTAAACACATTTAAATTGGTTTTCAAGGCTGATGGGATTCTACACAAAATAGCAGTATTTGTCAGACTCTGTGTTTACCTACATGTTCACATTTTCTGCCTTGAACAAGGACAAGTCAGAACAAGGTCAGAACTGTCAAACTACCACCACTAAGCCTGACACGCTACTCACAATGACTCCAGCTAAGATCAGTTCAGGAAATAATAACTCAAACGAGATTAATTAGATGAATGTGACACAAGCATTACATACAAGAAATAATACAGTCATTTAGAAGGGGTCTATTGTGCAATCACCTGTTAATAAGTGACAGGTTTTGTGCAATATCTGTCACTTGTTAACGAGGGGAGCAGGGGGACCAACTGACGCCTGGCTCAAAACACAATAAGGTTACAATGACTCACTGATTTCAGCTTTTGACATGGAATACAGAAATACTTTTTTTTTTTTTTTTTTTTACAAAAAACAGGCATTAGACCATTAGCATACAGCTTTTTCTTGCCCTACATACTGTATTTAACGAACAGTTTGTTGTAGTTTGTGAAATAGTAATAGTGGGACTAATAATAATAACAATCGTGCATTTCCATTGAAGTGTTTGAATAAGTTACTATGCAGAAAAAATGTAGAGCCCTGGAGCAAAACAAAATGGCGTGAGGCCATTGTTAACTAATGTGTCTAATTCCACCTGTGTTTTTCCTGCTGTGACATGTCAAACTTCCATCGGGGAAAAAGTGAAAAAAATTATCAGGCCTATTGGTTTTTGTCTTTGTGGGTGAGAAAATAGAAGCATGAAGGACAAACCTGCACATTCGCTGTAATTTAATTTGAGATTAATGGACCAAATCTTGCCTACAGCCTATGCACAACTCGCACTGTGTTTTGTTGCTGGCCTTGCGCTGTGTAATTAGGAAATGTGAGGTGATCTATAGGAACAAATACTCTCTCAGGTGCTGAGGTGATGTTGCTGCACTCGCAACATACATTATTTTCTGTTCTTATGTTTGTAGGTAATCATGTCCATGTTGTAATTCCCAATGTAACTGTTCTTTAATTGTGAGGCCTGGAGTACTGAGCTGTATGGCAGATTACTGTGTGGATCTCAAATAACGTAAACGGCAAATTTTATTTAGGACATAGGACACACCTAAGCATTTATTATTATAATAATAATACTATAGTAGGTTATGTATATTGTACAGTGACTGATTAAAAAGAGCCCCTAAAGAGTGCCAATATTACCATGACCCAGCATGTTTTTCTGTGCAGTTTTGTACGGGATTATTAACAGATCAGGTTTTTGGCTGGATCAATATCCAACAACAAGATGTCTGCTAAAACTGTAGTATACTTCAACTGTACCTTAATGTCTGAATGCGTTCAGCCTCTTCTTTACTCAGCTGGTTGAGCTCTTTTAGTCTCTGCATCGTCATCTTATCCAGCCAGGCTTTTCTGTACCAGTAATCACCAAATGAAACAAAATGCAAGCTGAATTAAACATTTCACCGAAAAGAACGTATAATCCTCATCTCTAAAATCAGGCTGCTTACCCTGATTAATTGCAAAGCACAATTGTAGTAATTAAGATTTGATTAAACGCAGACATATGTGGAGCACTCAATCAATGAGGTGCTTATAAGCACTGAAAACAGGCCAGCTATTAATCACTCATAAAGAGAAATGGCCTCAATCTAGCAGGCACCTAGATTCATTTATTGGAAAGAATTAACTTTGAATTAGAATCCATGCATTGCCTGTGGCTCTTAGCAAGTGGGGTCTGACACAGAGGTTAGAAATAACTCAGTGAATACAGAAGAAGGACTCATTAACATTCCTTTCCCTAGAAGCCATCCATTTAGCTTTTTTTGCTTGCTAGGACACACAATCTGATCTGATCTGAAGTACAAATAACAAAAACCTACCACTGACTAATCTGAAGAACTATCATATTCCATTATGAAATATAGATGGAAGAGGTTCAAATCTAGTTTTAGGAGACTGGCTTCACCTTAATGCTTCGTTCTGAGCTTGTTTCTTCTTTTCTGAGCTCAGGGTCGACTCTGCTCCCAATCCACCAGCCTCTTTCTGCTTTGTAGGGCTGGGTGAGGGCTTCACAGGAGAGAAGAGACACCGAGGCTCTGGTCTTTTCCTTTGAGGGGATCTGTTGAAATAATAGCAGAGGGATGAAAGTATAATAAAAACAGATTGAAGACAAATATACTCTACATCGACATGATGGTGGCGGGGATTGAGCAGGAGGTATATGGAGAAAAACATGGACATTTTTTACACAAGGAACTTTCAACAGCGCATTTTGACATTCACAATATTGCTTACGTAGGCTGGCACTGCTCTTCTACTTTTAAGCTTTATTGTGTCAAGAGCACTTTAATGCATAATACATTAATGAACAGATTGATACTGGATGCAAACGGTCACCTTGAGTTTAGCGTTTCAGACATTACAATAGTATAACCTTAGTTATGTAACGATGTTAATCATCCATTGTGTGCTGAGATGGAAAACATTGGTGAACAATAATAGGTTGTGATTTGAAAAAATTAATGTGTCATCTGCAGCAGTACAGAGAGATAAAAGGCTCACCGCTGTGGAGGAGGAGAATGAGGGGATGTAGGTATCCAGGGCACAGAGCGCTCTTTTTGAGGGAGCTGGTTCACTCTGAGCTGAGAGGAGACTGTAGGCTGCTGGAAACCCGCATCTTGTATCTGATTATGCTATGACAAAAATTATCATATATATGTTTAGACTGTTTACATGATCCTCACATTGACATCAAAAATCTCTGGGATCCACCTTTATGTACCTTTTCACACTGCATTTAAATAAAGGCCAAATCACACTGCTTCTAATATAACATGAAACACTTGTGTGTTATGATATTTTCAGTTCAGTACTTTGTAGAAGTGAAGCAAATACCTTCATTATAACGTCAGCCTTGCTTCTCTCAGAGGGTAGAGCCCCTCCTTTTCTGCAGGTGGTGCTTGTCTGAGATCGTCCGTGCAGCTCTGTCAGCTCCCTCTGCTGGGCAAGTGTCTCCAGGCCAGCCCGGAGCACCTCTCTTCTGTTCATGGGTTGGCGAGAAGTAGTTTTAGGCTTATGTGAAGCCATTCTCATACCTCCTGACACAAATGAAAAATGAACCGCATCATTTGTTTTATCTTAACTTACTGAATCTTATTTAAACAGAAAATAAGGAATAGCTATGCTAACAACAAACTATACTCTTCATCATCACTATTAAACTCAAGTAAATCAGTTTGGAATCTTGGGGTCTAAGGCATTACACGCACACGACAAGGCCAATTAGACAGTTAGCTAGCTCTCTTGACAACCAGCTGGATCCCTACTGACTGATAGATAAATGGTACAGGGACTTATGCAACACAACAAAGATGTTTGTTTCCAGGGAGAGATCTAGATGCAGCTACAGCTCATTGAAGGTGTTTGTGTCTTCCACAGGATGACTCTCAGCCCAATAGGAGCCAGCAGGTATTAACTGCTTTAAGCGGCGGGGGACTGAGGGGACAGAGTTCTGCACATCAGTTCCTGTTTTTTTCTGTGACTTCTTCATGGTTACTTATTCATTTTCAGCCTGGTGCAACCATTTAAGCACAGTGGGAGCCCCAAACACAACCATATAAAAGCCCTTTTCAGATACAAAGGAGACTAAAAGGGTTGTCCTTCATCAAAATGCTTACATAAAATGTACTCTCTGCATTTTTCAGATGCACTGGCAGAAAGTAAACCTGGGCCAGTGGACATGAGGGAGAGGAGTTTGATGTGTGCATACAGGAACTGCTAGCAATACTTTATTTCCTAGCGTACCTCAACACAATATACTCTTCTCTCTAGAGGAGAGTCATGTTTTCAGAATGACAATTGCCCTTGAGCGAGACTTTCCTGTTAAAAACACAGTCAACAAAAGTGGACGTAATTTTGATGGGAGCAATTGCCCCAAAGAAATACGTTGCAGCCACTGCACAGATCAAAAACTTACTTTTGAACCTACTAGTCATTTCAACACAAATAGGGCCCAGGTTTAGCATAGTGGTGATGGCATCAAAGATAACAAAAACAGGGATTTATTCATCTTCGTCTATCGTGTCTAACTTTAGTGGATCATAAAAGATGTGGTATGAAATGAATCTGTGGATGCTCCGGTTCAAGATGAAACCAAACATTTCTATGGATGTCAGTTTTTGAGTCACGACAAAGGCTGATATGTGGCCTACAAGCTTTTTTTTTGCCTAGCAGTTGGTATCAATTTAAATATAATGAAATTTCGGTGGCTGAATTCCAATGACTTTTTCAGCACTTTGCTAAAAAAAGGGGCTATTTTCAAGGTATTCTAGTAATTGATTTACCTCTTACAATTCAAGCACCTAGATTCATGATACTTTTGTATTAATTGTAATATGTATTTATATACTGTTGGTAGAAATGTATTTATAAAAACAGGTACACAAATGTCTTACTAAAGAAAAGCAAAGGCTGTTAAGCATGCTAACTAATCACACTCACCACGGACAACTCTTTTGGGATTTGCGGGTCTGCGAGGACCTCGAGCAGTTGAGGTGCTGGGACCCTTGGGTGCACTAGTGGGTGACACGCTGCGATGAGGAGACTTCCTGTGTGGAGGACATGCTTGGGCCCGCATCTTTTCAAGCGTCTCTTGTTTACGGAGGGCAGAATCCAAAGTCTAAGAGGAATAGAGTGACAAGACATAAAAATTTGATGTCCACTTTAAAAGAAAACTAACTCCCTATAAAATAAGCTGCACTTGTAGACAAATAACAGAAAATATAAACTAATCAAATAAAACTATATTTTTTCAGTTAACTATAAGTCAAAAAATAAACAACATAACAAAGACAATCATTCATAACAGCGCAGTGCAGTTGTAAAGTATAAAGATGATATTAAACAAAAGACTACAAGTAAAGTGCTGGCTCTCAGCTTTAATTTTTATATCAACATTAGATGCTGTAAGCAAATGAAGACTTTTCTATACCTAATCTCACAATTTTGGTGGACAGAAAGTAACTGGAAAAGTTAATTCAGACTTAAATAGTCCTTTCAAAAAGTAATTCTATCTTTAAAAGTTGGTACAGCCTATAGTCTATGACCCACAAACAACACAGGCACACTTTTATTATCTTCGCTTGTGATGCTCTGCCAGACCCCTGCTGCAGTTATCCGCACTCAATGAATGTTTTGTGGAATTATAGAATTTTTAATCTTCAGTAAGTAAAAGACATGATCAGTTGCATTGCGATCAGGTGACTATATGGCCAAAAAAAAACAATTTTGGTTGTCTGTTTCAAACCTACTGTGCTGGAATAGAGCCAAAGCAATTTAAAAAACAAACAAACAAAAAACATATTATTGTCCAAATACTTTGTGATTGTACTTGTACTGCTCCTTACCTCTAGTTTCTGCAGAATGTCGAGGGCCGTCTCAGGCACAGATGAACCCTGCTCTACTTCGACTTTAGCTGAGCACAAAGAGATCTGGCGAATCAGCTGGCCCAGCTCTTTGTAGTGAGGGGGTACCTTGCCATGAGATAGATCTGAAAGCTGGTGGATAACAACCTGTAAGGCCCTGAGTGCCCCACGGTGGGCAGCTGCAAGCCTGTTTATAGCCATGGACTGAAAGAAAGATCAGATAGTAAATCAGTTTACTATTGAGAAAAACAATGGGTTTGCTGAGCAGTAGAGCTGGCAGAACTCAACAAAATCTACATTTAGTAATATTAATTTAAATATTTTTTAAATGTGGTAAAAATACTGCCATGTTATTTGAACATTGTAGTTATAAAAAACTGCTTTGTCTTATTTAGTTTCCAGTGATAAAAACAAAACTAATACAGGTGTAGTTTCAGACCACTCATTTGTGTGTTTGGGATGTAGAACACTTATTTTTTGAGGGACAGGAGGCCCAAAAAACAAATTTTACTACTAAAGACATACCTTTTTGGTGTCCCACATTTTCTGGCTTCGTAGTTTCTGTATATCATCTTGTATCTCTTTTACCTATTAAATAACAATTTAGTAGAATAATGTTTAAAGATACAGTGGAAATCAAAAAGTCAGTGAAGGTTTATTTTCGATTACATGTGGTAAAGATTTAAATACCTGTTGTTGGAGAACATAGATCATACGTGCTGAGCGGGCTGACTGCTTCTGTCTTCGTATCTCCAACTTGTTTTGCTCTTCAGGCTCCAGTGGCTCCTCTATCTTCTCTCCTGTTGTTTAAAATCCCATTATTAATTATTTTTTAGCATTTTGTGTCCATTGTAAAACCAAACAAAAAGTGTGCTGATTGTGGTAGGTGCCAAAACTGTGAAAACTTTTTCAAGCTAAGCTGTAGATTTAAACATGTAATCAACTGTAAGACACTGGCCTAATATTACAAGCTGTTTTTGTGGGTCACCTCTATTGGCTAGCTCTTCCACTTTCTGAATATACACTTCCAGCTCATCTTGCAGCTTGCAGATCTCCTGGCTTAAAGGAGTTGGTTTGCCTCGTTCTAAAGGCTTTGGGCCAGGGTCTCTGGTTGGGGGCGACTGGCCAGTCCGAGGCATGGGAGAGATGGGACATCTCTGGGATGTGTGCACCAACAGTTTGGCTCCAGGTTGGGCCACTTTCTCTTTTGGACTGGAGGCCTTTAACTTTGTCTTATTTGGGGTGGCTGCAAGCTCCTATAAAGAGAGATAATGACTCCCTAAGTAGGACATATACCAGTAAACCAGTAGTTATATACTTTGTACTATTATTACCTGAAGCAGCTCTACATCACTTGTCTCAAAGAGGGAGGCCTCCTGAGAGGGTTTGGCAGGGGATTTTGCCACTGACTCAAGGCGCCTTCGTCTCAGATCTCGCTTGGCCAGCTCAACCGCAGCCCGCAGTCTCTCCTCGGAGAGAGTTGTGAAGCTGATGGAGCTCCTGGGGCTGTCCACATTCTCACGCTCCTCTGACCGCGGCAGCAGCCTCTCTATCACAATGGGGGCTGGCAGGCGTACATGGGTGGCACGGTTGCTGGCACTTGCAGGGATGGCTTCATTGAACAATAGCTGCGGTGCGCAAGATAGCAAGCAGTCTTAACCAGTCTTGCATTGTGAGACATAAACAGCAATTGTGATTCTAAATTAAAGCTTTTCACACTCATACATGCTTTTCAGGTAACGTTATTGCTGGCATTCACTTCATATTAACTCAGTTGCCAGCATTTGTTTGGTACAATTAGCTAGACCCAATGCAATCTACAGGAACAAACCTGCAGTAAAACCAATCTTCATTGCGTTTTGTGTGTGAAATATTTTAAAGAGAGATGAATTCAACTCTTTTTTTGTGGGCTGTGACGTTACTGTTTGGTTCCGTTGAGCTGAATTGTGCTATGCTGAGAGGTTTGTCAAATATCTAGTCTATCCTCACTGATAAAGGTGGACAAAATATTGGAAATAAAGCAATAACTTTACGATTCAACAGCACCGCACACCATGCTTCCCTAAGTGACCATATAACAGTAACGTTAGGTAAATCAACACTCTAAAACAGCAGGAAAAAAAATGAAGGGTGACATACCAGACTGAATCGGATTTAGCTAACGTTAAGTTAGTTGTTCCAAATATGCTGACAACTGAGTGCACATGCGTGTCCAGGTAGCATTAGCCATCTGGAATAAAGACACTGTTAATATTGACAGGGTTACGTCTTCCACTGTTTGTTACCTTGATTTGTGACATCCCAGTTGTTAAATCGCAGCGGTTGTGACCGTTTCGTGTTGACTCTAAAACAACCCAGTCTCTCCTTTGACTTTGCTGTCCTACAGAAATCGCGGAACCATTCTGCAACAACTGTGCAGTCATTACAGCGAAAACAACCACATACTTCTTTCAACCTAGCAAACAATTCGTGATATATAACTAATGCCAGTGAGAGTTAGCATTAGCACGCTATGAACGCTTTTGAATTGAAGTACGGTAACATTAACGGTTAATCCCAACTTCGCTTACTATAACGACTTTTCTTCAGTTTATATAGGAATTATACATTATCTTTGCACATAGCGTGTCTAACTGACAGTAAAGTAAAATATAGCACATGGTTAACTTGTTTAATTTCAGTCTAATAGATTATCAACCGTTTGAAACACCGCCATGACAACAACAGAAGCCGCAAGACGGAAGTAGTGGGTTGGGGTTTTTTTTACCAAGTACGGATCGGCAAATAAGTCAATCATCAGCGCAATCGCATTTTTAATGACCAGTTATTAAATTTAAAATATACCCCTTTTGTAAAATTTTCTATATGTTTGAGATAATATGTAATGTCGTAATCCGAATTATAAAACTTGGTCATCACAAAATATAATTTAAAAAACGTGATCTATGTTTTCAGGTACAAGGTCCCTTTAAGAACCTTTGCACAGACCGGAAGTGGTACTGTCAAGTTTGGAGTATTTCTACCAGGTCCAGCGTTCAGGGGAGCAGTATTTCTGATAACACTTGTTAGTGCATCGTAGTTCATATTAGTGCATTTTCACATTAATTTAGTCTAAACGATGACCCATTACGAAGAAGTAAATGTCCGCGGGTATGATGAATTCTGTCAGGCTGTGTCTGAAAGAAAAGGAAAAGATATTTATGCTTATTTCTCTGGCGATAAAGACGCCCAAGGAAAGAGCTGGTGTCCAGACTGTGTGAAAGGTAATAACTTCATACCTGGAATTGCCACATATAAATATAGTCAATAGATGTTTGTGGTTTCATTTTGAGTAGACTTGATTGAAATATTTGGTCATGTAACCTCATGCAGCAAACATTTCGTTGTTCTGGTAGTGAGAGGAGTATGCCGTTTTACTTAAGGATCTTGATTTCACTTTAATAGGTTTTATTTCCCTTTTAGCTGAGCCAGTTGTTAGAGGAGAGATGGCTCATCTTCCTGAGGGTTCTGTCTTCATCTACTGTCAAGTTGGAGAACGGGCCTAGTCAGTATTTTACTCTGCTTTATTTAAATATTTTATGGCAAATGTTATGGCATATCAAATGCTTGAGTCATTCAGATGAAATACTGTCACAAAACAGGAGAGCACACCATGTTTGAGCTGCAACTGACACTTAAATGATAGATTTAACAATTGAGTATTTTCATCTGCTCTATAAAATATGATAATGGCAATGAGAGAACAATGAAATAGCCTTAAAAATAGTTAATTTACAGTTTGACAGACAACCCAGAACTCCCTCCAATTTAATCTAACTTGATTTTGAAACCATATAAAATGGAAAAACAAGTCATTATTTGTATTTATGAAGTCACTAACCAGTATAAATTCTTGCTAAATCACAAAATATATTATGTGCTTACTAAAATTTAAACATTGGATGAATCTGATTTTACATTTATGTTTTAGGGAACTGACAAAGTATAGAGCCAGGTACAGTGAGCAATATAACATCACATGTATACAACCCAGAGGAATGGTAGCCAAGAGAACATTTTGAGCTTTTAATTGTCAAGACAGAAGTATTTTTTTCAAAGATTTTTGTATAGTGACATTTACATGTTGGAAAACTTAAAAATACTTTCAAGTCTGCTCTTTCAAATATGATATCTGTAAATGATATGAGCCGTTTAATAATAATGTCTTTTTCATGCTTCAGTTGGAAGGATCAAAGTAATGCCTTCAAGAAGACACTGAAGTTGAGTGGAGTTCCCACTCTGCTGCGATATGGCACTGTAAGAATAACTTCTATTGGCTTGACTGTTTTATTGACATGGATTAGCCTAAGATGAGACGTACTATAAATGTTTTACAGGAAAATCCACAGAAAGAGATAGGAGAACAAATTTCAGTGTCTTATAAAATGTTGAATATGAAAAAGCACAATATTTTTAATATTACTGTAGTTAGAGTGGTCTAGGGAGTAAATGTACCTGTAATACACCCCCTTGTAATCCTGTTTCAGCCTCAGAAGTTGGTGGAAGACGAATGCTTCAAAGCAGAGCTGGTGAAGATGATGTTCACTGAGGACTGAGGGCTCCCGCACAGTTCACATTACTCATAATTCAAGATTTGAGTCATTCAAGATTTCTTCACTGTTAAACTGTGAATTTCATCACCATTCGGTTTCACTGTACATTTCCAACTGTAATTTGATGCAAATCAGCAGCAGTATAAGTTTGCAACAAAAATAATGGGAATCCTTTGTCATACACAGCTATTCAATTAATTCTAAACTGGAAAATTGGCAAAAACAAACTTTTAGAATTGCTACTAATCATACTAATTTCTATTGTTCCGCTTTATGTGCAATCACTTATTTGATACATTTCTTCAAATTTAATGATGTTCTAACACACTAGTTGATTATAAAAAAATGCCTTGGGATTTTTTTTTTTATTGTGACCATTTTAATGTGACTTTTGTTGCCTTGCAGTACGACTCAAATAAAATGACACTTGACGCTGAACATTTGTGGTGGGAGAAAACATTTGTTGTAATGTATGATGACCCCCAATGAATGCCACAAGCTAAAATGTAATACACTCACAGCAATGTTTTTGGTGACCAAGTTTTTGTTGAATAATTTGTGTTGGAACATTTAAACAGTGTTTTCACCATGTAAGACTATTTTCATTCTTCAAGTGATGCCAGAAACCCCTTCTCATTTGTCACAGCCCGGGTAGTTTCCTCTTGTGAAAACTAGGTGGCAGCACATCCATAGAAATAGAGTATGGTTGTGACACCAGGCAAATTTTTTTTTTTTAATTTTCAGAATTTAAATCACAGTTGTCTAATGAAGATTACTAAATTAACTCATCTCAAAGATTTAATTTATTATATTTTTTTAAGGTCGAACCTGGAATCCCGCTGCTTTAAGTCTGACGATATAAAACATATAAACTCAGACATTAAAATGAATTGAGCTGCATTTGCTGTCCTTAACACATCAAAAATCCACAGAATATAGTTATTAAGTGTCATCTTTTTGACTAGATATAACCAGATGTCATGGTGAAAGTGTATACTTTGAGGAGGGAAAGAGCGCAACCGCTGTTGCAGTCAGTGTGATTTAAGCTGAGTGCATTCCTGCACAGCGCTCACACACCGGAGGACGAGCCGCGGTGCAACACAGACCGCAACGCCTCGTAGGGGCTGGGAGCTCACCTAAAACCTCAAAGTAGAGGTGGAGGAAGTGCCGGGTGTCGCCTGAACATAGCGGTTACATGTACAGCAACCTCGGCTGAGGGTAACGTTGTGTGTTCGAGGACTGTACGCTGCGATGTCGGAGTTTCTGGTGAGTCTGATCGGGGAGCGGCTCGTCAACAGCGAGAAAGCCGAGGTGGACGTGCAGTCGCTGGGCGCCAAGCTATCCCTGGTCGGGCTCTTCTTCGGATGCAGCCTTAACGCCCCGTGCAAGCAGTTCAACGGAAGCCTATGCGAGTTTTACAGCAGGTTCAAAAAGGCGTCGGAACATAAGGACAAATTGGAAATCGTCTTCATCTCGTCTGATCAGGACCAGAAACACTGGCAAGACTTTTTGCAGGAGATGCCATGGCCTGCGTTACCTTTCAAAGACAGGCACAAAAAGGTAAGATGGGCTGTGGTGATGAAGAGGAACACTGACAAACCAATGCTTATTCTCTGAAGGAGGTTTAGCTGGAAACCACCGGAAAAGTCCCTGTAGGCCATGTCTGCTTCTTCTTACAGTGCACAGGTGGATTTGCTTTAATTTCCTTACATCATTAATCTCTCTATAGCAGATTCCCTTAAATCTGACTTTACTCAATTGGACTTCTGTCATCTTAAAATGGTTTGTCTTTTAAGCCAAGTTAACCAAATTATTGCTAAAACACACACATCTATATGATTTTCTACACAAATACAAATTTTAATAAAGCCTGTGGTTACAAAAAGCAGCCACTTGATTCCACATTTAACCAAAAGAAAATGAAAATGATAAATGTCATTAGTGTTTGCACAGGGGAAATGTTTCTCCATTTTTCACAACAGCCAGAGAAGGATCCTTTTTAGCCTTTGACTTAATTTTGTCAGCATCTAAACGTGGCATGCCAGACATTCCCAACTTATTAACATGAAAGGAAACAGAAAGTAACTTCATTTCTATTTGTCTTTTACTGACTAACGTTTCTGTTCAAGGAATTGTTATTGGCACATAATGTTTTAGCTAAAGCACTTTTACTGTTACATCTATAATATTATCCACAATGCTGCCTGTGTTGTCTGCTCAGTGAAGGCCCTTTATTTTACCATCATCTATAGCTTTCTGTGGTTTCCTGATGGTCAACAGTGCAATGCTTGGTGGATTTCTAATTCACCACTTTGATTTCACTTAATGTATGTTTAATGTATGTTTGTAAGTATGTTTATTTTTGTCTAATTTTTGTAACTCATGAGGCAGCTTGGATTTAGTTTTCTGCTGTGATATATTTTGAACATTCAGTGTAAATATTTGCTTTTCAGTTGAAATAGACAGAAAATATATTTTTATTTTAGCAAGTTACTATATTATTAAATTGCACAAATTATCTCATTAATCTAATATTTTGAAATTAGTTTTTGAAGAAGTTTTAATATTTAAGACAAACAGTGCTACACACACACTATTTTCTTTTGTTCATAGCCAAAACTGTCCCACAAAAACAGAATCACTTACAAACATCTTGTGGATAAATTACTATTCTTTCTGCAAAATACGAATACTCGTATGGTTTCCTCTGCCAGTTAGTAAGTGATATTTGCAGTTGCAAAAACATGAAGAACGATAGAAAGGAGGACAATGTTGTATACTGTGTGTGTGTGTGTGTGTGTGTGTGTGTGTGTGTGTGTGTGTGTACTGCAGGATGTCAGTAGGCCATCCCAGCCCCCTGTTTGCAGCACAGGTCTCATTTTCTAAATGTAAATGTAATTGCAGATGAGGCATAAACAAGCATACTGTGTGGCCAGCTATATTTGCACGGCTTGCATGTCTGTGATTAGCTGATTTTGTTTCCAAAGTAAAATGTTGCTGTGGATTTAAAATCATCCAAATAATGGTAAAGAGGATTTTGACTTGCATTTGAAGGCTTGGTTTGTACTTTTTAAAAGGAGATATTTGTAAGAAAGTAACATTGAAAGATTTTAACGGTAGTTATGTTAAATAATATGTGTATAAAACCATTACGGGTTAAAATGTTTAATAGCCTACATCTTGTCTTTATCTCAGCCTGTATTTTCTCAAAAGGATGCATCTTTTTCAGTCTTAACACGATGAGCAAATTCACCCCCAACTGTTCTTTGTGAAGGTGAGGCATGACTTGGACTGCATCATTGTCTTGTAAATTCTTTCAGATTGCCAATGATGATTTCCGTTACACCTCATAATAAAGTCCAGGCATGAATAAGGCTGGGAGATGACAGGGGATGGGGGTTGTCTTGTTGTCTGGGGCGGAGCGCATCCATCGCCACGGTGCAGCTTTATTGTGTTCTAACTGTTTATGGAAAATGTCTGTGGCATCAACATAACCATTGTTCACGCTCTTGCTGGTGGTCTATTGGCTGTCTGGGCCTTATGAGAATAGAGCAACACAGTTATGTATCTTGTGTTTTGCTGAGGCCTGTTTTTGTTTTGGTTCAGCTGAGGCTTCATCCAACCTTTGCCCTATTCCCTCTCAGCATTATAACACAGCAGTGAAAATTCAGTCAGCACTTTTAGTGCAAGAACAGTATTTTATAAATGTGACATCTCTAGAGGCACGCAGAGCGTGTCATTACCCTCATCATCCAGTAGTTAATTGATAATTTATGCATGTTGGCATTTAATTTTTTTTTTTAAGGGAATGGCTATGTATGCCGTAATCTGTGCATTCATTTACACTGCAGCCTTTCTCCTGTCCAAACGGTTTGTGTGAATCTCTGGCTGACCTGATGTAATGCTTTTATAGATAATTCAGGTGGTTGATCTCTATCTCTATTGTTGATTTATTTAGTTGTGAAGTTCCATGGATTCGTAGCTCAACAGAAAATTAATCAGCAGCTGTTTTGATAATCAATTATACATTTCAGTAATTTTTCAAGAAAAAATGTCATTATAATTGTATTTGTTTGTTCCAGCTTCTCAGATGTGAGGATTTGATACTTTTCTCGTGTATGGCCATTTACTCGACTATTTATGGAGTAAAAGAAGCGTTTTGAACACATCAAATTAGGCTGTGGGACTTTACAATGGTTATTTGCTATTTTCTGCCATTTTATTTTTAGACAAAACTGTTAGTTGACTAATTGAAAAAATTGATGAGTAAAACTAAAATGATAGTTGCAGCCCAAATTAGTTGTTATTATATGGGGATTTATGTGTATTGGTGAAACACAAGGTGATCAACCAAAATGCAAAAATTTTCATTTTTTGGTTCTAATTAGATGTGTCTAATTCAAGCGCAAGAATCATATTTTGCAAATCAGGAAGTGTGAAGTTTGCTGATGCTAGAAATGGACAACATAAAGTATTTTATTTGGTTCTGAGTAACAGAGGAAGACTGACTGCTGAAGATGTCCTGGCATGTCTGAAATTGAGCGTTACAGTAACTGAAGAGGATCTTCTGTATGTTTACTACAGACAGACCTAATTGATGTTGACCCAGTGGAGGGCCGTGTTGATCTTGTGGGTCCGCAGAGACTAAGTGGCCCTCTCACCTCTCCTCGCAGGCTCTTTTTGACTCCTGGCTGAAAGCTTAGCTCACCTCCTGAAGGATGCAGTTTCTCTTCAGTCATGTCTTTGAGCCTCACCGCCCACCTAAGAATCTCCAACTGTACCTCCCCCTCCTGTTCCCTTTGCTCCCCCTCCTCTGCCCTGTACTGACATGGCTATCTCTCACAGAAGGCTGTCCTCTTTTCGTTTTACTCAGGGGTTATCCAGGCCTTCCTTTTGCAGGAAATGTTTGTTATTTAATCAAGAAGAATAAATATTCTTGATTAAATATATAGAGAAAGGAAACTCTAGTGTCTAGAGGCTAGTCTTTATATAATTTGTCCTTGAAAAAAGATCTTGTAGTTCTGGTGGTTTTGTAACCAACACAAAAGACTGAAAAGTCTTATATCCTGGTGCCAATTGATTTCATTTAGTTATTTGCAGGTCATGTGAATGTCTGTCTGACATTGTGTTGTTCTGATAAAGGTTCCACTTAGAGACTGCTTAATGGAGGGGAGAATGTCAGTAGTCTTTCTTATTTGTGGTCTTTCTTATTTTCCATTCTTAATGTGGGGTCACTCTTAAAGCAAGACCGACCAAGAGGTCAGCACATTTGTTTTTAGAACAGCATAGAGGATATCCACTAGTGTTTGTCTTGGGGGATCCTCGAATAGCACGTCTGCTTGTAGTTCAGGGACGGCCAGCTGCCTCGCTGTCTTGGCTTGCTGGCACTGCCTTACATGGACTTGTGCAGCAGAGATGTAAATCAATTAAAGCCTTGG